TTTTTGGTTTTTCTCCGGTACCGGGAACCGAACTCACGACCTTGCGCTTGCCAGGCAGGCGCTTTTGCCGCTGAGCTAAATCCCCAGCCCCCTACTGGGCTCTGTTCTATACTGTAGTGTTGAACAACAGCAGGGCAGTGAACAGCTATGAGGCATACATTTCTAAGGCACTAAATGAGTGAACATTTTAATGGATATTAATTTATATTTGTTATTGGTTTATATGTCACTCTGTATCGAACTGATCATCAGAAATATTTTAGAGGCTTCATTTTGGGGTTTAAAATCAGTAGAAACTCACAACATTGCAAGTACAAGTTTGGATTTGGTTCTGTTTTATAACCTTACTTGGGTGCAGAATATATATGTGGCATAGTTAGAGAATAGAACTGTTTGTGATACAGGTTTTGGGGTACAGGTGCATCAAGATTTCAGTAAAGAATAAAATACATTAGGGAGAGTCATCAAGGGAGCATACTAAGAGCATTGAGACTTTATGAGACTTTTAACTGTCCTTAAAGATACATATTCAGTGGCTTGGTAGAAAAGGGTGGGGACTACATTTACTAGCCATAGAGCTCTCAAGGGAAGCATGAATTCAGTGTTAGGAAACCAGACCAGAGCAGAAGTACATTTTGGAAATCTCCCTGCTGAGAAGCCTTGCTCTTCTGAGGTGTGAAGTAGAAGCATAAACTCTTGTGTTTTTTTTCTGCTCTCTTTGTAGAGGAAAGAGGCGGAGGAATTTGCCCGGAACATGGCCATCCAGCAAGAGCTGGAAAAGGAAAGACAGCGGGTAGCCCTACAAAAGCAGCAACAGTTGGAACAGGAACAGTTTCATGCCTTTGAGGAGATGATCCGGAACCAGGAACTAGAAAAGGAGCGACTCAAAATTGTACAGGAGTTTGGGAAGGTGGACCCTGGCCAAGGTGGCCCGCTGGTACCTGACTTGGAAAAGCCCTCTTTAGATGTGTTCCCCACCTCACCCGTCTCATCCACACAGCCTTCAGACTGTAATTCAGCCCTAAGGCCAGCCAAGCCACCAGTAGTGGACAGGTCCTTGAAACCTGGAGCGCTGAGCAACTCTGAAAGTAGTGAGTCCATTTGCTGATATTCTCTTCCATACCTTTTGTAGCCAGAGTATCATTGTAAGTACACAGCCCCTGAGTATCCTGCGATGGCACTTCCTCGGCTTTCGTCACAGAAGCCCATTTGTTAAGTACAGTCATACCGTGTCCTTTCACACTGGCTGTCTCGTGATAGTGGCCTTTGCTAAAACCATATAATTTAGATAAAGCCAGGTCAATTTTCTGAAGAATTAATACTATCATTGAAAGTTAGACACTCAACCATGGCTATGTATTCTGGGACATCCTTGAACTCAGTATGTAGCCCAGGCTAGCCATAAATTTCACAGTGATATTCCTGCCTCAGCTTTCCAATTGTTGGAATTACAGAGGTGCCACCATGCCCAGCTGGGCTCTCAATTTTAAAGGTTATACAGAGATTTGAAATGTTTCATGAATTAGAGACCTCTGTTGGTTTTTGTAAAAATAATTTTTAAATGTATACCGCTGTGCAATTCAGTGACTGACTCTTAAAAAACCAAACAAAAAATCCCAAAATGAGCTACTGAGTTATACTTGCCCTAAAAGCATTCCTAATCTTTGAGGTCTTAATTAGTCAAGGGAAACAGTGTATATAGTGGGTGATAGCTCAGTTCAACCATAAAAACTCAATGGTTGTTTATCAAGAATACAGTAGAGGCAAAATGATGAGTATACCTTGATTGTTGGAGTAAATTTTGGAGGAATCAACTTTCAAGTAGTCACTTAAAGAAGACTGTCAAGTTTTCAGGATGTTCCCTGGACTGTCTCACCCAAAGAGATTCATTCACATTTGCCTTCTGTCTAGACTTTTCCTGTTTCTGCCTTCCCTGCTTTTCTTGAAGTTTTTCCAGGTCCCTTTAATCCGACTGATTCTGTTCTCTGTAAAACTCCCAGAGCTCTTTTTACCTCTAATACAATTTAGATCATTTACCTACTAGTGTAGTCATTTGTCAATAACTAGATTTAACTTCCCACAGGTTAGGGCTTAAGTCTTATTCATATTTGTGTTCCCTGTGGGCTGAGCTCTGCGCCTACTTGGTGTCCACTCAGTAAGTGATTATTGAATTGAAAAGAAAGGACTGTACTGATGCCAAACCTTCATTTATCCTCCTTCGACACAGTCGTCCATCTGCTCTGTGACTGTGAGTCTCTGGGTCCGTTTCCTCTTTGGCAATATAGATTTTGCTGTCAAGTGTGCAGAAGCAGAACATCCTGTTTTTACTTTGTTGTGTTGTGTTGTTTTATTGTGTTTTGTTTTAAGATAGGATCTTGCTATGTTGCTCAAGTTGGCCTTGAACCCCTGATCCTTCTGCTTCGACCTCCCAAGTAGCTGGTATTAGAGGCCTGCACCACCACAGCCAACCATTTTTTACTTTTTTAATATTAAAGTATGGATGTAAATGATACTTTCTACCCATAGCTTGCTGGCTTTCTCTTCAGGAACTGTGTCCTTCCTTAGCATCCTGAAGCAGATTTATGAGTAGCTTCCTTTGTGCCTTTTTGGGGAAACCAGACTATGTGTTTTGTTACTTGGAGTTTTTTTAATATTTAAGCTTTCTTTTATAAGACTAAATTCACAAGTAAATAACTATCCAAATGATTTTCCATTATCAAGAATATATACTGATGTGTTTCTTTGAAAGACATACTCTGATCTTCCTAGGAGATAAAAGAGAGATATAAAATTAAAAGTTCAGGTGCATGGGAAGGCTTTTTTTTAATCTTTTGTAACAGATTCTGTCAGAGAATCCCCAAATATCTAAGGATCTTTTCAAAGTAGTAGTTTAAGCTGGCCGTGTTGGTACCTGCCTGTCACCCCAGCACCTGGGAGGCTGAAGCAGGAGGGTTGTTGCCAGGAGTTCAAGGCCAGCCTGGACTACATAGTGAAACCTTTTCTCAAAAAAAAAACAAAAAAAGTAATAGCTTATTCTTTTCCTACCTTGAATGGTTAAAGTTTTCTCTTTTTTTCACTGTGGTATCAAGCGCATCAACTCAAAAGTCTAAAGTTCAAAGTTTCATGTGAATCAGATATAAGTGAGACATAAGACATAATTCATCCTTCTCCATCTGTGTGCAAGTAAAATTGACAAGTTATGTGCTTCCAAAATACAGTGGTGGGACAAGTGTAGGATAATCACTCCCACTCCAGAAAGGAGAAATAGACAAAAAGAAAGGGGTAACTAACTGGTCCCAAGTAAGTCTAAAATGCAATAGAGGAAATATTAAGTCTTACATCTAGAGAATAATCTTCTTTGACTCCATGTCCTACATCCTGAGCACACTAGGGTAGCGCCCTCAAGGCCTCACACAGCCCCATCTCTGTGGCGTTGCTAGTCTTAGTTTACCCAGCAGCTCTCAATGATTGGGGTCCAGGCTTTGCAGGCTGGATTTACATACTGGTGGGTCCTGCACCTCTGGTGTCTGGAGAGGCCATCCCCGACCTGAGGCTGCAGTCAGCTCTGTCCTAGAAGAACTCTGGTGGCTTTGCCTTGTGGTAAGTCTCTGCTTGGTTTCCCACGCTATTTCTAACATCCTTTGAAATTTAGATGCAGGCTGCCATGGCCCCATAACTCTCAGAGGAATTGGTTCATATTATTATGGAGGCCGAAAAGTCCCCTAGCAGACTTCATACAAGATAGAGATCGCAGAGTGCTGGTAGCATAGCTAAGTCCACATCCTAAAGAGAGTAAGGCCTGAGAAACCAGGAGGCAACTGGTGCAGGTCACGGAGTCTAGAGTCCAGAAACCAAGATCCCTAACGCTAAGCACAGGAGAGTGTTATCCCCGCTCCAGGAGACAGAGAGGGAGGAAACTGCCTTTCTTCTGCTTCTTTTGTTCCATCCAGGGCCCCAGCGGATGGTATGGTGATCACTCGTCTTGAAGGTGGCTTTTCCATACCCCAGTTTCCTTCAGAAACACCCTCACAGACACACCCAGAAATAACGCTTTGCTGGTTCTCTTGGTGTTCCATAATCCAGAACATGATACCTACAAGTAACCATCACATACTCCCAATGAGCTATGGCCAGAAGTTGAAGAAGTGACTTTACAATCCTCCTTTGGTGATATCAGGATGAGATGCCCACCTGGGGGAATCCCAGTGACTTAGAATTGCTCTTTTTTTTTTTTTTTGGTACTGGAAATCGAACTCATGACCTCACACTTGCCAGGCAGGCACTGCGCCACTGAGCTGTATCCCCAGCCCTTCGAATTGCTCTTGCAGGCTGCCAGCTATGAGGTCTGCTCGGGGAGACTCAGCCCTGTGGTCTCAGACTTTTTTCCTTCTCCATTACAGTTCCTACAATCGACGGCTTGCGTCACGTGGTGGTACCCGGGAGGCTGTGCCCACAGTTTCTTCAGTTAGCCAGTGCCAACACTGCCCGGGGAGTAGAAACGTGCGGAATTCTCTGCGGAAAACTGGTAAAAACAAACAAACAAACAAATAAACAGTCTTTCCTGAGCTGAGACTGTGTCTTCCCCTTGGCCTCTGTGACTCACAGAAGATATTCAGGGTCAGTTATCCTTCATGCCAATCCCTTCACAGAAGGAACTGTGGACTGTAAACGTACTACAGTCCCTTAGATTTGGTGACTCTGCATTTGGTTGTTTTCCAGAGTCTCTTGAGTTGAGCTGATTACTTTAATGCTGTTGTTAGAAATTCTAACTTTAGTAAAAGATCCAGCCATACGTATATATCATCTGAGCATCTCCTTTATGGTAGGGCTTGGGAATAGAAGGCATATAGTATGAGGTCTGATTGAAATATCTAATGAATGTTTAATTTTTTAAAAATAATTATAATAAAAGACATATTGCTATTAATCTCTCTCAAAATATCCCACACAAACTTGGAATGCACTATAAACTGCTTCAAAAAGTGACAAGAATGATGTGTGTTTAAGACAAGGCAGAGTATTTTGAGAGGGATCAGTGGCAATGTGTCTTTTGCTGTAATTTTTTTAAGTTAACATTCACTAGTTTTTGATGACCCCCTTTGTGTCCACAAAAAACGTCCATTCTTTTTGGAGAAATGGAAAACATATACCAAAAATGAAAAGCATGCTGAGTGGTATGTATAATGTGAGCACTAGAAATTTTGAGGAAGAAAAGATTGCTCAATGGAAATACTTTAAGGACTCATTATTAACTGCTGAATGCATTATGAATGAAGAGACTTAATTTGAGCCTTAAAGGAGAAGGATGTAACAGTGAAAGGCAAACTTGCCTTAGATGCAAATTGGGCTGTGGTGTTTACCCAGGCTGTGGTGTTTCCAGGCTGTGCCTCACATGGAGTTCCGAGGTTGGTCTCAGCGTCTGTCACTTTACAGAGCACCCAGTAATGCCCATGAGCAGCCAGGGTTCTGAGCCCCTGAGGTGAGGGACTTGGGGAGCACAAAAGAGATCCGCATTGGGATGGGAAAGGGCCTTCACTGCGTAGGTGTTTAACTCTTCACTGTTAGGGACGGTAGGGTTGCAAGAGTGTCAAGGCATCATGGTGAGCTGTTTTCTCCTTTGGCAGATGAGGAATGAATTTACCATTACCCACGTTCTCATCCCCAAGCAAAGTGCTGGGTCTGATTATTGCAACACAGAGAATGAAGAAGAACTTTTCCTCATACAAGATCAGCAGGGCCTCATCACACTGGGCTGGATTCATGTAAGCAAATCTGAGATAAGGGTTTGTCTTCTCTTTTTTCATCATGTAATAAGCACACTGCTTGCTTCTTTTCTTGTTTTTTTTTTTTTTTTTCTTTCTTCTCTTTGACACAGGGTCTCGCTATGTAGTTCAGGTTGGCCTTAAACTCACTATGTAGCTCAGGCTCACAGGTCCTCCTGAGTGCTGGGATTACAGATGTGCACTACCACACCCAGCTCATTTACCTCTTTCTTGGAACAAAGTAAACCAAATCCAGATTATTTATTGTTTTTCCTTCAAGCATACTTGGCTGCTTGCACTCCAGTTTTGACTTCTGAGAACTACTTAGGGTTTTTAAAAATTTTTAACCTTTTATTTATTTTTAATAAAAATAAACTAGTTTTCCTAAAACTCCAGTTTCCCAGTGAATTTGAATGGTGACAGGATGGTGGCCTGAAATATATGTGCATTGACCATAGAAACTATGCCAGTGCAATCTATACTGTATACGAATGATGTTCCTAAAAGATATATAAATCAAAATAATTTAAGTGAACCAAGGAAGTTAATTAGATGGTTGTATTTGGTCTTCATGAAGCAGCATATGCTTTTATGTAAACCAGAAGGGCCACCAATGTACCTGTTTGCAAAACTTGTGCAGACTTCTGGTAATATTCTGGTAAAGTATAATTCCTTCCCTAAAGATTATTTCTTCATTTTTTTCTGTTACTTCCAACCCCTCACTCTCATAGACTAAGCTGCTTTTCATGTGTGAGATGTGGGAGTTGCTGGCAAATAAATTGGCTTATTTCTGGATTTAGGCAGATCACATACAGTTGTATGTCAGAGCAGGGGACACTGACCTGTGGGATTGTCTCAGGTGCCTTCATCCTTTCTTCAGTTCAGTTACACAAATATTTACTGATTTGCCTACTGTTGTATAGCCCTGCCCACCAGTGTAGTAGGGGGATGGAAAACTTGTTGCCTGTCTGCTAGAGGATACAAATGCCTATCAAATATGCTTTTAGTCTCACAAAAGAGATTGCACAAACAATGAACAACTCTTCCCATGAGGCAGAGTGTGCCAAGGGCCCCAGGAGGCGCCAGTAGGGCACTGTGGAATTTAGAGGAAGGAGAGATCATACCTAGTGTGGTTAACGAGAATTCTGACAAGATGGGCCAAGGGGGGTCTCCGTGGGAAGGGGCAGCATTGGGAAGAGGATGTTTCTGCACGGCAATGATCTGATCAAAGTTATACTTTAGGAAACTTACAGGCAATTTAAGGTCGGATGAAAGGGAAAGATCATTTTAGAGGTTAGTGTGGTGGTAAAGTTGAGTAAGATGAGAGCAGGATGATGGCAGTGTGCTTGGGAGGGAGGAGGTGATGGAAGGGCTTCAGAGGAATTGGGCAATGAGTAATAAAGGATAATGAGTAAGAGTCAGTGATGATTCAAAGAGCTCAGGCCTGGCTCATGGGGGTGGCAGTGATCATCTCGTAAGCAGACAAAGGAGTCCAGAAGGAGGACTGACTTTAGAAGTGGGGCTCAGTTCAGAGCATGCTGATTTTAAGGGACTTGTGAGCCATTAGGTTGTTGGAGGTAGTTAGCGGAGAGATGGAGCCAGGTGCATGGGAGCAGGGTCAAAGTAGGAGGGAGATCTGGGTGCCTTCTGCCCAGAGCTGGCCTTGAAAGTAAGCAAGGAGAAATGAGAGCAAGAAGAGAGATTTCCTGACAATTTGGGACACAGGCTAACAAGTCGGTAGTAAAACAGATGTGTGAGAAGATAAGGTCCATGTTAAGGCACAGAAAAAACAATAGGAGGGACACAGAGAAGGGATTTTGGGATGCTAACTGTGCTGCGTAATACAGAGAACTCCAGCGTGGTGAAGACTTGGACCAGCCTGTTGGGTTGGGTGAAGTCACTGAGGATGCTGGTTACTGGGTTTTAGGCAGATGTGGGGATACACTGTCAGGGTTAAGAAGTCATGGGAATTGAGGTTGTGGCAACAGTGAAGTAGGCACTGCCATTTTGAGTAGCTAAGCTCAATAGGAAAGTAGAGAGATGGCATGGTGACTTGAATCTAAACTAAACATGCACTTTAATGTATCCTGAGTAACATCTATGGATACATTGCTTAAGTGAGGAAATAGGATGCTGCCAGGGACCTTTTCCTACCCAGTCCTGTTTCCTTTTTGGAAAAAATGAGCCTTCTGCTTTTCTCGTCATCCCTTCCTTGCTTTATTTATAGATTACCACCTACATGTGTATCTCTAAACACTATAGTTTAGCTTTGCTTGGTTTTGACCTTTTTATAAATGGAACTGTACAATGTGTATTTCTTCTTTTATTCAGCCTTTTGAAGGTTCACCCATATTCTGGGGTGTAGTTGTCTGAATGTGTTTTTATTTTCAGTGAGCGAGTAGAAGAGGGGTAGGTAGAAGGGCAAGAAAAGCAAGATAGTAGGACAGTAGGAAAGTATCAAGCTTCATCTTCCTATGGGAGAAGAAACACCTATTCTTTCAAGACAGGATTCAAGGAAGAAAGGGATACAGAGAGTTTTGAAATATTTGGAGAAGTCAAAGGAACTCATTTCAGACCAATCATCTTGACTTTGGAGTCTGGGTCTGCTGCTTAGAGGTAGATTTAGAAACTAGAGGAGTTGGGGGAAAGTTTGGGATAATTACTGTTTAGACTTCAGGTAGAACTTGACCACAGATAAATAAAGGTCTAAGTATCATTGAGGGCCCAGCTGTGAACAAATTTAGAAGCTAAGTTGACAGTAGTGGAACTATTTCCCCCATGATATTTCTATACCATTTCTTCCTAATTTGAGATTTAAAAAAAAAAGAGCATAAGCTCTGTTCAGATCTTAAAATATCAGGAGGAGAATGCAAAAGATCAGTTCTTCCTTCTGCACCTTACCAACTAGAAATCAACTTCCCTGGGCCAAAACATTGCGTGGTCAAATATTGATCATAAACTATTGGTAACCCCACCACCACCAGTACTGGGGACCGCCTTCTCCTCCTCCTCCTCCTGCCCCTCTCTCTTCCCTCTCCCCCATCCCCCTTCCCCCTCCCCTCTTTCTCCCCCTTCTCCTCCCCCTCCCCTCTGCCCCTCCTTCCTCCTGCTGCTGTCTCAGCCCTTCTTAGTCGTCTCTGCTCTTTCTTGTGGCTGCTGTGCTCCCATCCAGGCACGCAGGGGCCCCTCAGCATTCACTCTCCTTGCTCACTTCGCTGCTTTGGCATACTGTTGTTTCTTTATGAAAGTGCCTTCCTCAATCCACAGCAGAGCAGACATAGTGACCGTCACTGTGTGTCCAAGAAACTTGACTGGGCCTGAGAAAGGAAGGAGAGAAGAAGGCATAGTAGCTTAGAGGGAGCTTGGGGAGCAAAACAAGGTTTTTTTATTCGGTGTCAGTTATTTACCAAACCCCTGCTGTATCTCTTTATTATCTTTCAAGCCACCCAGCTTTAGATTTTAGCCCTTGATTGGCTGGTGTAGGCCTCTTTTGCTTACAGCTTGAATCCCAGGCTCTAATTGTGGGATGAACAGAGTTAGCTCAGCACTTGCTCCCTGCTGGTCTAAAGGACTATGTTACCGTCAGGTAGAAACTGTTTTCCCTTGTGGCACCCAAGTTGTTACACACTCTCTGAGGACCCGAGTGCATCACACCTTTGCTCCACAAACCTCTTCCACTCTGCATACGCTTGTCTCAGCATTCCGCGGAGTGGTGCTTCACAGCTAGTACTGCAGATCAGAATCACTTAGTGAGCTTTAAAGAAGTGTTCACTCTCTTGATAGCTATTTCCAGGAGGGGGTACACGAGTCTGTGCTTTTGACAAGCTTTTCAGGTGTTTCAAGTTTTGCACAGCACGTTTAAAAATACTAATCAATTGTACCTGTTTATTGTCTGTGCTTTTCAGTGAAAGTTGATGTCCTTTTTGAGTCATGTTGGAGTTTACTTTTTCCATTCTTACCAAGAATCACAGCCCCTGTAAGGCAAACATAAGTCTATATAGTTATCTGTTTTGACATAAATAATGTGCTTAATAAAACATAAATAATTGGGAGTGAATGAAAGAAAATGAATGAGCATTTAGATGTTGCTTAACTGATTACCCTCAGATTTCTTTTCTTCTTTTTTTTTTGGTACCAGGAATGGAACTCAGGACCTTGCGCTTGCCAGGCAGGCACTGAACTATATCCCCGTCCCTACCCTCAGATTTCAACATCTTGTTCTCCTTCCAAAAAAGCAGTCTCCTTTGCCTGATTTAATGAGTCCCTGAAATCCGAGTAGCCCCTACCTCCTATATCTTCCCTGGATGATGCTTTAACCACAGAATAATTTTTGCCAATAGACCCATGCTTGACCTTTTAACAAAACCTCTCTCAAGAAGAATCATTCATCTAACTGTGGCTTATGAAGTCCTTGGCTTCCATCATGTTGAAATATTGGGCAGTGTATACCACCTGTTCTGGAGTGGGTGACTCTCCATTAGTATAGAAAGAGCTTACCAAGAACCCATTAGAAATACTGAGACTCTAGAACAATCGAAGCTTGAATCATCCAGAGAGGTGCTCACCCTGCTCTGAGAAGATAAAAAGAAGAAATTCCCAAAGGAAGTCACCAGCACCATTCTCATGCCATTCACCATTGTTTTCTTTTGTTCGTTTATTCATTTGTTTATTTTTGAGACAGGGTCTCACTAAGTTGTCCAGGCTGTCCTTGAGCTACTGTTGATCCTCCTGCCTCAGCCTCCCAACTGCTGGGATTACAGGTGTGTGCCACCACACCCTGCTACCGGTCATCATTGTTGAAGACACCTACTTTGTCCATGAGTGCCCATCATGATAACAGCTTCAGATCCATGGATCCCAGGGTGAATTCAACATCAAAGGCCTTAATTCTTCCTGTTTGGTGTAAGACCAAGAGGCCAGAGCAGAAAACATCCACAAATAGTCTACTGTCTCCAACCCCCAGGCATAGGTGCCTTTGTGGTTCTCCACTCCTGCTGTGCCTGTGATCTTTGCTCTGTAGGTTTCCTTGGTTGTCCCCACTTGCCTGACCACCACACTGGGTTCACTTTTATCTTTACGTTCAAGAGAGGCTGTTACTCTCACTTGTCTTCCCTGTGACACCTGAGACCCAGCCCCCCACCCACCTGTCACTCCTGACACACAGAGTACCTGGGTCCCTACACTTTTGATTCCCACAAGGCCAGTCTCCATACCCCAGGCCTGTTCCCTGTTATCATGCAAGAAAAGCAGATCCTGGCCTACTGACTCTGCAATGCAGGTCTCGTACAACTCTGCCCCACTGATGTCAGTGCCGACACCCCCACACATACACACCCCTCTCATCATGTACCCGTAATGCCTTCCACACCCTGGACAGGGTCTTCTCACAGGAATCCACACCTAAGTGCCAGTATGGGTGTGAATGTGTGACACATAACCTAGTGAGGGCCTCCTAGTCAGTGTCCAAGCATGTGGACCACAATGTTGACTTCTACCTTGGCCGTTCTGACCTTGGAATTCAGTTCATCTCCACTCTGCAATAGTCTTCAGCTGTCAGCGTTACATATCAGTAGATATTTCCCTCGCGAAGCCCCAGATGAGTCTTGAGCTGGACCCTCTCCATACCCCACTAGTTTGATGGTTTCCTATTTGCCCTTTGCCTTGATACCTCCCCTCCCCACACTCAATAGCCTACAGCTCACCACCCAGCCAAAAATTCCAGAATCCATTAGACTGCATGAATCAGCAAGACTGGAGTTCCCATTATGAATAGTAAAGAGAGAAAAGTTTTCTCCTTTCTGTGTGCGACCCCTCTCCCCACAACCCCGCAAGAGGTCAAGGCTGCCTAACATCTCCACTATCTTCAAGTGAGAAGCAAGAAACTTTCAGTCTTCTTGGTCCTCAGTTTATTCTTGCTTCCTGTGAAGGTCATATGAGTGAATTAAATGAAATGTGCTGCGTTATTTCATGTCTTCTCTGAGTTAGGATATGTGCACTTTTCTGGGCTTAACACTCATTTCTTTCAGATATAAATCATGCTATCCACCAGAACTTCCATGAAATCCCAGGACAGAGCAGGTTCTGCTCAGTGTATGTGAGGGCGTCTCTAATACACCCAGCCACCCAGGAATTAAAATGACATCTCCTCACCTTGCTTTCCAGAAAAATCCTCACCTGTTTAGCTGCCATGCTGTCCAATGGAGTAAATCTGAGTTACTGTATTTTCTTAGTCACTTTCATCCCTTTACCCTTTCTCACGGCATTCCACACTACAGACAGTTCTTCCAGCTTCTAAAATTTGCTTATTCCTCTTACTCTGTAAACTTTTGTTCATTTTATTCCTTGTTTTCTAGGACTTTATAATGGGAATATATGTTTTTTTTTTTGACAAAAATTTGTGTGTATATGTGTATATATATGATATACAACAGGGTGTTTTAAAACAAACATGAGTCTCTTCATATGTGTTATACTATACTTGTTTACAAAGCTGGGAAAGAACTTCCTTATTATGAACTTCAGGGGTATCCTTCATAATTGCAATTATCTTTGTACATACTTGCAAAGGAGGTGGGACCAGCTGTGGGGAACTCCTTGGGCCTCCCTGCCTTCGTGGACCAGGTGGGGCTGTTCATGCTCACCGAGAGTTCTCGGCTTGTTTTCTCTTCTCAGACTCACCCCACACAGACCGCCTTTCTTTCCAGCGTTGACCTGCACACTCACTGCTCCTACCAGATGATGTTGCCAGAGTCCATAGCCATTGTCTGCTCCCCCAAGTTCCAGGAGTGAGTAGCCGGGACCTCCTCCGGGCGTTACAAGGAGGTAGTGGGGAAGAAAGCCTGAGAGCAAAAGATCTCTATTCTTAAGACCATGTTCTTTTAAACTACATAGATCGTAGTGTTAGTTAGCTGCTCTAGAAGGCTTCTTTTAAGCACTATATTCTAAAAAAACAGCTTGTTTATTTTAAAAGATATCCAGGTAACAACTTTGGTGCTTTTCTTAAAAAAGGTCCAGAAGAAATTTGAAGTTTGATTTGAAGTGATAGGAATTTCAAGAGTTTGAGGTTGGATTAAAGAATTTCAAAATGAAGCACATCTTTTTCATTCCAGATCCTATTCATTTACTATAAATATTTAGCAACTCTTGTGTGGTGGCAATAATGAATCATCCTTTAACTATGATTTGTTCACCACTAAGGAGCCTAGAAGCCAAAAGAGTTCTCTCCTGCCTGTGTATGTGTGTGCATCCCCAGGTGTGTGTGTATGTGTGTGTGTGCGCGCATGCATGTGATAGTGATGGGTGGGTACCATTGCTTGACTCTGAACCTGCCTTTTCTAATTTCAGAACCGGATTCTTTAAATTAACTGACCATGGACTAGAGGAGATTTCTTCCTGTCGTCAGAAAGGATTTCATCCACACAGCAAAGATCCACCTCTGTTCTGTGTATGTACCCATGTAGGAGAAATTGCTATATTTCAAGCAAGGGAAACATTCCGAGCCATTGAGGTGTATCACCTTTTCTGACCTACATGGAGGACCAGGCTGTCAGTTATCTTGCCAGGTCTCCATAACAAGGATGTACATACATGGAAAGCAGTAGGATAGAATTAAATTTGAGTCACGGCTCTGCCACTTAATGATGAGAGAGACAGAGAGAGATCTGTCTATCTTTGAGGCTACTTACCCTTCTCAGGCTCATCTTTCTCATCTGTAAAGTGTGTATAATAATTCATTCTTTATAGGGTAGTGAAGAGAATTACTGGCTTGAAGCACGACTGGTACACACATGACTTTCCCGTCGGGCAGCTTGTACCATCAGTGGTACATGCAGGAGTGTCCCATCGGGTGGCGTGGGACAGTCCCATTGGGTGGTACAAGCTGCCTGGTGGGACAGTCATACATTTATGGTCCCATTGTGAATTTGTTAAGTAGAGGCTGGGGTGCAGCTCAGCAGTAGAATGTATGCTTAGCATGTGTGAGGCCCTGGGTTCAGTCCTCAGCACTGCCCCCTACCCCACAGTGATATGTAGAAAGTATCGAATGTAACTGGCTTATTCAGTGTTAGTTTTGTTCTTCATGAATTGCCATTGGTAAGCCTGTACTTCATTAAGCGATTTGAATGTAAAGGAAAAAAGCCACATAAGTAAATTAAATATATTTGATTCTAGAAATTTGCTTAGATAACGGAGATTTTAAAATCTTCCTAAAAAAAAAAAAAATTAAAAAGAATAAAAATAAAAGACCACCCTAAGAAGTTGTTTTCTTCCCCTAAATTCTAGTCTGTGAATAACAAGTTTAGTTGATGATAAGATCACTGTTTCTATTCACTGCAGATCAAATGTGATAGGTTTGCTTTTCTCCACATTGGCCTGCAGTATTGCTACTTCTTTTTGGATTCAGAAAAAAGTGACCAGTTTGGAAAAAGAGACTCAGAACCTTGTCATGTAAAAAGAACTGGATCACAAGTGCAAGTGTAGCCTGGGCAGCTTAGTAACTTAATAAGAGCCTATCTAAAAAAAAAAAAAAAAAAAAAAAAAAACCACAAGAAGAAGAAAAGAAAAAAGCTCAGTGAGTCTGGGTTCAATCCCAAGTACTAAAAATATAAACAAAAAATCCAAAAACAGAAAAAGAAATGGGGATTTTTATACAAAAAAAAAAAAACAAAAACCAAAAAACAGAAAGGATCTAAGGGATAACTTCAAGTAGCAGAGAGGTGATGTATAAAAAATACCACTCTCAGCACTAAAACCAGACCTCAGGGAATGATAGCTTTTAGCTGAGTAGAAGAAACTTTGAAAATTCAGTCTGCCTTGTATGTAATAAATAGGTAGGTACCAGGATGTTGAAATAGAGACTGCACACTCGGAAAAAAGCCAGGGACACAAATGCACAGGTTTCTAGTTACAAAGACTCCTTTTCCATCCCCACAGTGAGTATTCTTCTATGTGATAGTAAGTGTACTTCGTTATCTAATTAATAATGATCAAAACAACTACAGTGACTCTACTGATTCTTATAAATGAATATATATTTTGCAGACAACTCTAGAATATATGTCTGTTTGAAAAATAAAGATTTATGGGCAGACATTGATTCAGTGGGACTTAGTGGAAGCAGTGATTCCCAGGCCCGTTACCGTCATTGCCACTTAAGTCCCAGTCTGGCTTTCAGATGTTCAAATGAGCATTTTAAAGGAGGAGTCTTTAAAAAATGACTTTGCAGGGGCTGGGGATTTAGCTCAGCGGCAAAAGTGCCTGCCTGGCAAGCGCAAGGTTGTGAGTTCGGTTCCCGGTACCGGAGAAAAACAAAAAACAAAAAACAAAAAAAAAAAAAAAAATGACTTTGCAGAATTGTCCAAGACTTCACCTTTCATTTTCTCTGTTGCAGAGCTGTAACCATGTGACTGTTGTGGACAGAGCAGTGACCATCACAGATCTTCGATGAGGATTTGACTCACACACCTTATCAGTGTACTGTAGCCCCTTAATTTGAGCTTTCCAGAAAGCTTTGGAAGATTTTTAACACAGAATAGGACATGGGTATCACTTGGGGAAGAACTGATTTTCTGTATCAGTTCGATAAGGTTTTTAGGCAAATCTGAAAAGGAGCATGATCACACAAAAGCAACTAACTGAAAAATTAAATTGAAAGAATGGTATAATGAACCCTTCTTCCAGGTCCACAAATCGTTAACCTTCCATTGCTCTCAGCTATCTTCTAACTTCCCTGCCAACTTGTTTATTATCTACCTTTGAATTAAATGAGGGCGTCTATGCAGAAATTTGGAAGCCATGTTGAAACCCTTTGGGATTGTCCTGCGGTTCGGGCAATATTGATGGCACTGATTACGGGGGTGAGGGGCAGCTTACTATGTCTGAGCAGATGATGGGGCTCAGGATCCCTGAAGAATGATGTTATCAGGAATTATGTTATTTAACAAATACTTCGGGATATTTTTCCTCTATAATAAAATAACACTTAACTTATTGGGCTCTAGAGTGATCCATTGATCGAGCCTCGCATAAACAAGTGAATGAAAGTCTTGAGGGGCTGGGGATTTAGCTCAGCAGCACAGCGCCTGCCTGGCAAGCTCAAGGTCGTGAGTTCGATTCCCTGTACTGGAAGTCTGGTTCTGGGAAAGGTGAAGGGAAAGGAATTTGAGATGTGCTGACACTGAGATGCGTCCCACTTCGCTTTTATGGTTCAGTGTTTTATCCCTGTTTGCTGCTGTCTTCCAGGGGCGTGAAGTCATCTCTCTTCTTCTGGTGCTATCTCAACTGGGTCACCCCTTTGCTTCCTCCTTATGCCCCACAAACTTCGAGCTGATCATTGTAGGTTACACTTCAACTAAATGGTAACATTCCCTAGCCACCCTGCCTCCCAAATTCCATTGTGGTGCCTGTTTTTTCTGACTTGAGCAACACTTAGGAATGTGTGTGGAGCTGTCACTGACTTTTGCTGTGAGCAGAGCCTAGTGTTCTAAGATGGCCTGGAAATAATGTTGGCACTGGTGACACCTAACATGAGCGTACTACAGTAAGTACCTTGAATAGAAGAATAATTTATTTCTATATCAGAGTGGTGTGTGGGGCGGGGGGTGAATATATGAAACTTTGCTGCTTTTTAAAGTTTTGTGCCCTGAATGTGTCTGATCTTTATTGCTTACGTTATTGGTCATTGAACTTTTCCCCTGGAAGAATCAAAGCTTTATGTTATTATTCTTTTCAATTCTTAACTCCCAAGGTACCGGGGATTCTTTCTTCTGAAGTTTTTGGGGTAAGGTAGAATGGGGGGAGCAAGTGGGTTTGACTGCCCCGCTGTGAACCAGAATTAGCCTGGCTGTTCCCCTTTGTCCTGAGCAGTCCAGAAATTCCCCTGTCCTGTGCTTTCGAGGAAATCTATGCCTTTCTTCTACTTATTTTATATTTATTACCTTTTGCTTGGACTGTTGCAGTAAGCTTGGATTAGACCTCTGTGTTCAGTGTTTCTTCCACTATGTACTACACATTATAATCATCCTCTTATTTCTTCTCTTGCTCAGAAACCTACAGTAGCTTTCTAGCTACTAAAATCTAAATGAAACCTTTATTCAGAACTCTCCTCCTGTGGCCACATGTTTCTTACTCCTGTGTATACTTTTAAATACCTGGGGAACTTTCAAAGAGATACTGATGCCCTTCCCCCTCTCCATAGCGGTTAAATCTCAGTCTCTGAAGGGGATGCTAGACATTGTTTTTGTTCTGTCTTTAAAGCTGGTAGGATTCTCAAATGGAGCCAGAGCTGAAAGCCGAAAACGTAATCCTTCATACCTAAGAATTACGAGCTCTTTTCCATCTCTGCACATCATTGATGTTCAGTGAATGTTTTTCGAACCCGAGTGAACTCCAATCACATTCATTACCAACTGATCACCAAACTGCCATATTTCTGCTGTGCCACTTGGCACAAGTTATCTTAGTGGCTAAAGAGTGCAGTGAATCAGTTTACAGATGCGCCCTTTGCACCTGATGCCATCCAGCCTCCCGGAGCACAGGATTCAGAGTCTCTCTCTTTACTCTAACCCGGTGGGAGAGACATGGTAGAAAACCAGCCCATAAGGAAGCAGGGGGCCAGGTAAGCAAGCGGTCAGAGAAGGAGCTAGAGTTGTAGGGAAAGAGGAAAGCAATATTTTGAATAAAGGGACTTAAACCATGAAATTGAGGACAAGCCTATGCTGGAAGGGTCATGACTACTCAGCTAGAGAAATTGATACCTGGGCTCCAGAACCTCAAGGGCCAGGACCTTTTTCTACTCTCTCAAGCTGCACAAGTACCATGCTTAAAGGTGTAGGCCGAGAAGGGAGGCAGGGGCAATGCCTGCTTGCGTTGCAGTTGACCTTCAAAGCACAGGCCCTCGAACGTGCCACGAGCCAGGACAGAGAGGCTCTGAGCACTGCTTTGCTGGGAGACAGGCAGGGCTGGGGCTTTCAGGTGATCACGTGCACAAACTCCTACTTAAGTGGGACTAAAGAGGAAGAAGAACCCTGAAGCCTTGGTGATATTCTCAAGGGTACCCAATTGTCTTGGTTACTTTTCTGACGCTGAGACAAAATACCTGACACAACATTAAAGGAAGAAGGGTTTACTGTAGCTTGCAGTTTGTAGAGGTTTCAGTTCCTAGCTGGCTGGCTCCAAGGCAGGGTGGTATGGAAGAGGGGCACTGCAGAGGAGAAACAGTTCATGGTGAGCAGCAGACAGCAAAGCAGCAAAGTAGAGAAGAAGCAGTGAGCATGGCAGGGCCTCCCCCTGCCCCCTTGACGTTGATGGCTTCTGGGTTTCATTTTTCCTAGCTGTTGTGGTCAGGGTTTACAAGGGAAAGGATTAAATACAGGACACATAATTTATAGGATTATTTTATAACAGTCACCCAAAGATGTTTTTCAGTGAGGTTTAAAAGGACTAGACACTGCCAAAGGCAGAACTTTAATGAGTAAAAGTCTAGTGAATCCTGCAACTAGTTTGTTTCAAATGATTTTTTTTTGTGGGGGACAGGGTCTTGTCATGTAGCCCAGCCTGGCCTCGAACTCATGGCAGTCCTGCCTCAGCCTCCCATGTGCTGAGGTTAGAGGTGTGTGCCACTGTGCCCAGTGGTCTCAAAACACATCTTTGAGAACACAGTTTTAGCACCAGACCGGATGTCATTCCCTAGACAATAGTTTAAGCTCAATCTTGGTATTTTGCCTCCCATCCCTTACATCACACTGTGTTAACCCCACCCGGGTGGAGAGACCATTTTGCCCAAGGATCTTTGAAGCATATCAGCCCTGAGTGGCACCTCTAGGCCGAGCCTTATTTCCTTCTGTGCGGAGCTTTGCTTGGAGCCCTGAGAGGGCCTGTTTGGAGCAGGACCACTGGAACATTATCCTCTGGAGAGGAAATGCTAGTTTGAATATTTAAGACTGTGCTTCTAGGCTCAGCTGTGCATTCCCCAGCAAGTGAATCTTGCAACTTGCCAAACTCCTTTAAAGTCTGTAAAATGGGGTTGGTCTAATATGCCGACCTCAAATGAGGACCAAATGGCGTCCGTGTGTAAATAAGGCCTATGAGAGTTGAAAGATGTTATAAAGACTTAGGGATTTGGGTTTTTCTCCCCTCCCCTCCCTCCATCTCTCCCTCCTTCCTTTTCTCCCCTTCTGCCTCTCCTTTCCCCTTTCTCCAGTACTGAGATTGAACCCAGGACCTTTGCTCTGAGCTACATCTCCAGCACCCCCGCACCCTTGTGTACCTTTTAAGACAGGATATTGCTAAGTTACAAAGTTGTCCAGGCTAGGATCAAACTAGCAGTCCTCCTGTCTCAGCCTCCCACAGTACTGGGATTACTGGCATGTGTCACCACACTCAGCTGTTTTTTATATCTCGTGAAACTCCTGTTGACCTTCTGTCCCATGCAACTTCCAATTAAATGACTCTGCAGACACGTCCATGTTCGCTATCACTAACAGGGCTTCCGTACCCAATCTCTGGCCTGCCCTTACGTTGTGAGCCGGAAAATCAAGGCCCCCAGGAACCATAAGAATCATTTTAACTTCCACTTATTTTCCCTAAGGTCCAGAGTAGAGCCAGGACCTAAAGACATTACACATCTCTTTTTTTCCTTGGTGCTACCCTACTCTTGTTTGAATCTCCCACTTCCATTGTTTGAATTATTTCGTGAGATCAAGGAAGAACATAATGTAAACTTCACTCAAGTTTTACTCTATAACTGAGGTCCAAATTTTAGTCTTGGTTTACCTGAGGTTAGAAATGGGGTCTGAAACTTCAGTGAGTCTGTTAAATCCAGAATCCAGCCCTGTGGCTCTGCATGACTCGAGGCCAGTGGTGGCGAACCTGTGGCAGCCGGCTATTTGTTATCAAAGGTTCCCAGTCCCTGCCCTAGGCTCTTCTGTCCTTTGGTCATCAAACCCTTAAGGCTGGGTTTAAGTTCTACTTCTAATGATTCCTTTTACTGGTAAATTCACTAAGGAGGCTTCCTTAAACTCCAGTGGCATTTATATCCTATTTCCCACAATTTGGTGTATGTTTTTACTGCTTTGTAATGTGTTCCTATTGTCTTTTTAAGTGACTCATGTCCCTGAATTCTCATGTAAATTCTCTTAGGGTAGGGACCTTGTTTACTTTATTCACTGTGTTAAATGCCTTTCACTCAGTTTCCTGCTTCCTTATTGCTTAGCTGTTCCTTGAAATAGTGTTCTTAGTGTTGAATCATGTTAGGTAGCCAGCTAGACCCATGCCCAAACCCTGAGAAACTACTCCACATCTTGGGCCTGGACTAAAGTTGAGCTCGCCCTGTAATTGCCAGCACAGATAGTTGTCTGCCCAACAGGCTTAGTAATGGTTGGTGAGAGGAAGAGGTACAAAGAAGGCTAAAAGGGGGAGGGCAGAGAGGTGTGAGGAGATGGGAGATAGTGGCACCACCTCTTGTTGGAGAAACTAAGGAAGGCAGTTGTTTAAAGAGGAACACCAGGGGCCGGGGGTGTAGCTCAGTGGTAGAGCGCTTGGCTAGTATGTGTGAGGCCTTGGGTTCAATCCACAGTACCACAAACAAGTAAATAAACAAAAAACCAAGAAGGACATGGGTGCTGCCAAATGGCTCAGAAGAGGCTTTCTGGGATTTGGCAGTTAGCAGAGGCCTTCTGAGACAAGTCCATTGAAAGTATTTCTACCCCACCAGTCTATCACATCTGCTTCTTTACTGTCTGTATAGCACTGTCGTAGCTGAAATTGGTCCTGTTTGTTTATTTCTAGCACATATATCTAAAGTATACTTCTTAAGAGCATCTTTGTCTTGTTCACTCTTGTGTCCTCAGTCTCCTGAAGAGTGCCTGACACACAGTAAGATATGAACAAATGCTCAGACTTGTCCAAAATCATCTAGCTAATAAGGGTAAGTAAATATTGCTGTTTTGAAAACAGAGTCATGTGTGCACATTTTCAATAATGACTTTAAAG